CACTAGAGAACTACAGAGATTTAAAAAAAAAATTGTCCAATTTAGTTGGTGCCGTTTGAAACAGAAACAAAAATTTTGGTAATACATATGAATTCAAATTCAAATTCAAATATGTCTTGACTGTCGCAATCCTGCCCATCAAAGACAGTTGTTTACCACTCCAACTTAATTGTTATTTTGAATGCTGTGTTCTCTCTGTAGTTCTCTAGTGTATATTTCAGTAATTACTGTTTCTTGCTGAATTATATACCGTTCTGCCTCACAGTGCTCCTTCTGTGGGCCTTTTATTTAATTCCCTGTGTACTCTGTATTGTATGGGCATTTTATTTTACATGCACATCATTATGAATAATATAGTATACATATTCATAGTGCTAATAAATAGTTATTTACTCTCAGTTCATTGGGAGGGCAGACTACATAATCCCCATGGGAGAATTAAAGAAGGGAGAGATTTCATCTTCTAACAAAATCCCGGTAGGAGATGACCAGACTGAGCCTAAGGGAGGGGTTAAACAGATCATCAGTCTTGAGTCCCTTCAGGGCCACAAGAGATCTAAATCCATCCCCTCTTGAATTCCATTGACTCTTATTTACCGCCAATTTGTTTTAACCATTAAGAGTTCAGATTTTGTAGAGAATAGTAGCATACAATAAACCTATATTCATTTGAACTGCCATCAGATTTAATTTTTCCCCCCATAGGATCAGTTATATGAAAACCACATATTTAAGGAAGGTCCACTACTGCCTAAATATGTCCACTTTGTGAAATCCTTGCATTCCTTTCTCTGGGATTTTATAGACCCATTTTTAGAAAAAAATTGCTGTACCTACTTTTGTAGACATCCTAGGCTGGTCAATTAGAGCCACAATGTTTAACTAATTTATAGAGCCATTCATCACACGAGCAAGCGACTCTGGGCAGCACACAACAAAAGAAAAATTTATGATTTCAAAATTTAGTCCACATTTTGCTCTGAATCAAATTGTCCAGAATCTAAAATGTTTCAGTCAAATCAGACTGTTTTCCAAATGATCATTTCAGCATCTGAACTGGGTGGTTGTTATATGCCCTAACGTTTAACAATTAAATTCTAAAAAAAACAAAACCAATAAGGTATTTTAATGGATAAAATATGAATTCGTTATGTACATCCCTACAAAAATTATTTGGCCTATATGAGTACTTAGTTTCTTGATACAGTTTTTAAAACTGTACTTTAGAATGAGGTATTAAGATACTCTTTCTTCAAATATTTTATGAACTAGGAATATTTGCAACCTAAAATGACATTCAGTATCGGTAATAACCAGATTTTTATTTAGCTCATTTTGCCCCAAACCATACCTAAAATAGGAGGCAAAAGATCCTACTCTTTCATCTCCCCACCACTGCACTATACCTCCATCTGCTCTTGGCTGGCAGGGAAAGCTAATTTGGCTACAATAATCAAGCTTTTATCTTATGCTACATGGGCACTCAGACATGAAACAGTGGGCATTGCAAAGCAATGTGGCTAATGCATCTCCCTTTTACCATATGTGCCTGCTATCATGCCAGAAGACAGTCGAGCTATGCCAATTTGATTCTAAACTCAGCTCTCCTTAGATTACAGTGAGGGTAGCATCTAATCAGTGCCAAAGAAAAGTCTAAAATCTCTGCCAACGAAACATGGAATCTGCATACATTTGCATACATTTGCACAGCTAGGTATTTCCCGTTTGCTTCCAAGTGTCAGATTCTCAAATAGCAAAAGAAAGTAAGAAGACTGAACACTTATTCTTTGTGGCATAAAATAAGAGAGGAAAAAAGGAAGGAATTGAAGGATGAAAATGGGGGGGGGGGTTAACTTAGCTGAGGCAACTAGATACTGAATCAGGACTGATTCATTAATGCTTACAATTTAAATAGATTTTGGAAGTGTAAACCTGAAATTCACCTCTAAAATGGCCTTTTTACCTAAACATTGATTCTGACAATTGCTTTAATGGTCGGAATACACCTCAGGGCCCATGTAATTTTAAATGTTTTTTCCCAGCATCACCATTCCATACATCTTAGTCTTTTCCCAGTTTCCCAGCCTTTTTGTTCAACACCTAAAGTTGTAGCCTGCTGCTTGGCAGACCTAAATAAGTTTCCTTTCATCCATACTTTACATCCAATCTCCAGCTGTTAAATTAACACAATAGCTCCTCCAGATAAAGGAGCAGGGTGAGACAGCTGCTCCTGAAGCTCAGACTGTATTATAAGCACATGTCTGTTCTAACAACAGGTTCCAGAGATGGTAGGCTTAACTCAACCTCACCATCAAAAGCTTCAAAAGTGCATTTTATTAATTAACTTGTCAAGGATGAGTCTTCTGTCAACACTGGCCGACTTCATGATGCCATTACTGCGCTCCATTTTATCTTAAATGCTCCAAATCCTCAGTGTTCTAGGTCTAGGACAGTGATTGTGAAGCTTTTCGGCACCAAGTGCCCAAACCGGAAAGTCTGCACGTGCGCTGGAAACCCAAAGATCAGGTGGGCGGTGCACATGAGTGCACTGGCCAGCTGGTCTTCAGATTTCTGACACGCGCATGCATGCTTCCGGAAGACCAACTGGCCGGCGCACATGTGCATGCCGTAAACAAGAACAACAGCTGGTGATGGTGCGTGTATCCACAGAGAGGGCTCTGTGTGCCACCTCTGGCACGCATGCCATAGGTTCACCATCACGGGTCTAGGATCTAAGTGACACTGCATAGTTATCTTTATTATGTACTTTGCTTTTTCTGCTTAGCAGAAAAGCAAAGAAAATGTATTTGCTGGGATGGCAAGAAATGCCATCCTAGCAAATACATAAACTAAGTTCCATTTATTGAACAGACCCAGAACACATAGAAATATATTTAGGGGCTGTGTTCTAAATTCTAAATATATCCCTTAAATTAAGTTGATACAAATAAGTCTGCAGGAAATACCATATATATATACCTCCGTGGAATAAGAATAAAAAAATTAAGTACCTGAAACCATTTTCCCATGTACTCATAACAAAAAGGATATCCTTCTGTTCATATGGAATACGTTTTTCCCTATACAAATCATACTTCAGTTTAGGAAAAAAGTAATGAATGAAGCAGTCCTATAGTTTTCTACATATTGCATGAAATTTATAAATTCTTCCACAGCTGTGGGAAGAAAACAATGAAATCTAGTAACACAGAAGACTGGGTGTCTCGGTTTCAGAGGGTATGACTGTAGATATCTGCCTTTTGGAGATGTTTTAAATCTCTACTATATTTATAGCAAGCGTATATTATATATGTAGCACGCCCCACTTTGTACCATGTAGTAGGCAAGGTTTTTTTACTGCACAAATACTGTGAAAATATATAACAGAAAACTTTATAAGGTACAGTTAATTATTCAACATATGGAGCTGTTCTAAATACATATAAATCTTATGTCTCATAAGAAGCCCAGCTATAATACAATATGGTAAATCTCTACCATCACTGTTTTCAACCTAACCTCATTACTGTTCCCAAAACAGTGTGGATAACATGAGTAAAATAACAGAAATTGCAATACTAAAAAAAGGAAAACACGTGGCATACTAAAGCACAAAACTGCAATAAAATTAAGCAATCTAAAATTTAAGCATTTTAAATTTAAAAGGTATTTTAAATATATATTTATTTCATTTATTCAAAGAATCCCCTTTGGGATGCATCTCATTTTAGTACAACAAAAAAGCATATAACTTTTTTATAGTGGATAATCAAGCAAACATTGTTTATTCCTTCTATTTATACCATTTTTTTTCCATAAAGCGCTCAGGAATATGTACATTGCCTATAGTTTTATCTTCAAAAACATTTTAGAAAGTAGAATTAAGATAATATTATGCAACTGGTATGAGACCAATAAAGAGTCACAACTAAGCTCTATGATCCAGTTTTAACTTTATTAAACCTGGAACTGCATGATGCTGGTGAATTACAGTTCCTAGTATTCCTGTCAATAGTCATGTTGTTTGGTTGTTGGGTGTTATAGCTCAGCATATAGAGCAGGGATGTCAAACTCGATTTCATTGAAGGCTGCATTCGAGTTGTGTTTGACCTCAGGGGGCCAGGGTGGGCATAGCCAGCTTGACATTACTCATGTTGGGGGTGCCTGTGGTAGCCCGAGCACTCTGCCAGCGAAAACACGCTCCCGGTCTCAGTTTTCGGCTACGACGGCCTCCTGCAACACTCTGCCACCAAAAACAGAGCTTGGGAGGGCCACGTGCAGCCCCCCCCCAAGCTCCATTTTCACTGCCAGAGGCAGTGCAGGCCACTCCTTCACTATTTGCAGGGCAGATCTGGCCTTGAGGTGACACCCTGATCTAGAGGAATATAATTCCTGCCCTCGATCTATGCACAACTTCACCCTACACATCAAAATACAAGCATAACAACAAATATATAAATGTACATACTTGTACTCAAGACTTGTGTCGAAGCAGCAATCTTCTAATGCCTCCAGGGACTTCATCAATAGGAGATTCATTTGTTTGTCAGCTACATCACTAGGGGAGGAAAAGTAGTGGTAATATATCCTAGCTGATACATTGTAAGTCTTGTAAATTATTACAGTGTTTCTTGATCTGATAATCAGTTGGCTATTATTATTTATATATTTTTCCAGTCTGATACAAATCAACATTTTGCATCCAGGGGCAACAGAACTATATGCGCACACACAGAAATTAGCTAACTACACAACATACAATGTGGTGAAGTAAGAAGGTGGATTCCAAGGAGAGGGTGTGTGCATTCCAAAGGAATAAGAGGCAACTAAGTCCAGATATTATGTATGGAAGAAAGAGGGTAAAGACAGAACCTCCCTAATCATTCACAGAGTATATTGTAAATGCAGACAGTGAAGTCCTCAGTCTGGCAAAACTTTTTCTATAGGCATGAAACAATACGGAACTCAACTTGGAAGAATCATCATGTGTTGTTATTTTTGAGATACACACACCTCCAAAAACAGCATCCACAATCATATTAAGAGCATGCCAATGGGAAGTGTTGCTAACTTCTCTTTCTTCTCTTTTGATTTTTAACAAACATATCTCAAAAGACCAAAAGAGAGAGAACTTCCTTATCCTTTGACTCCATTCTCTATGCAACAGAAGCTTTAAAGGATGAAAGGATATGATTCAAAATCAATTTCTAGACAATTTTTTCTTTCAATCTTTCCATCCTTCTGATTACTATAAAGTGCAAATCTATTTCCTTTCCACTCTTCTCACATGTTCAGTGTTGTAGCCTAAACAATCTTGCAAGAGCAGAGATAAATAGTTATAGAAAACCGAATCAGCTTTATTATCTCTCTCTCTCTGTTTCAAAAATAGCAACTTTCTTAAAAATGTAGGTTTCCTTTTTCTGCTGAAACTATCAAAGTCTGCACTTTTGTATGGTATGTCTCTCAATGAAAAAAATCACTGTGACCTAAGATACTAAGTCCCAAATAGGATGAATGGATGGATGGATGGGAAAATTATCATGAGTAGTTGCTTAGTTCCATATTATACAATACTGTGGTGTCTTTTTTATTAACAGTAGAGAGATAACTTTGCTCCCATGTATAATGCACTGATGTAATTTTATCTATTTCTTTTTAAACTACTTTTGATTTTATTGCTCCTATACTGTATTTTCCAAGCAGTTTTTTCAACAACATTGGGGAAAAAATTATATAACTGTAATCTCATGAATTAGTTCAGGTAGTCCTCAAATTACAAGTATTCACTTAGTGATCCTTTGAAATTACAATGAGACTGAAAAAAGTGACTTATGACTGTTGCAGCATTCCCATGGTCACGTCATTTACATTTGGATGCTTAACAACTGACTCACATGTATGACAGTTGCAGTGTCCCAAGGTCATGTGATCACCTTTTGCAACCTTCTGAGAAGCACAGCCAATAGGAAAACCAGATTCACTTAACAATTGTGTTACTAATTTAACACCTTTCACTTAACAACTGTGGCAAGAAAAGTCGTAAAATGGGGCAAAACTCACAACAAATTTCTCACTTAGCAACATAAATTTTGGGCTCAATTGCGGTTGTAAATTGAGGACCACCTGTAATTACTTTTAAGCAAAATGACAGGGGAGAGCAAGATATATTTATTTCAAATATTAGTAGACACGTCTAGTTTTGAAGTATATTGAATACCCAAATAAAAAATAAAATTACAATCCAATGCGGCAAACAAACACTATGGGGATTTTAAAAAGTTTTAGTCATCCTTTTCTTCTCCAAATAAAAATTGGATTATTACTATTTTTAATGTGAGTAGCTGCTTCGTATCCTTTCATTCTGAGATTGGAATAATCCAGAATTTTCTCTTGTTTTCTACTCAAATGTAATATTGTTTTTCATGATGCTCATTAAGCCTTTCTTGGGATATCAATGTAAAGTCTGGACTGGATGAGGAAGCAAATCTGTTTTGCTGTTGTTGCTGCTTATACAAAATGTATCAAAATGATCCAGTATTGGAATACTAAGAAAGCCCTATCCAATCTGAGGACATCCAAATGTCGGACATTTTATATGATTTCCAGCCAGCAAGATAACAGTAATGCTGGCTAGGGAGGATGTGCTATAGCAAAACACACCTGGAGGATACTAGGTTGGGAAAAGCTTAGACTACATGGGTTAAGACTTTTGATTTTATTTTTGCAGAAAAGTCCACACTGAAGGGGCTTTCTCACTGTGAACGTAATCCATGAGGAGGCCTCAGACACCGCTGCAATCTTGAAATAGGGAAAGCGATAACTTACATGGCAGTGAAATAAGTGGAAGAAGGAAGAAGATGGGGGACCAAGGAAGTAGTTCAAAATGAAAGCATCTTGCAGAATGATTTGGGAATTGTGAAAGGCAGAAGGCTATACATGTTGCTCTGCATAATATGAATATCTAGTGTGGGAGGAAGCAAAAGTTATTTGCACACCTGCCATAGGATGGAATTCATACCTGACTTTCTCTTCACATAACCGTGAAATAAACATCCCCAATGCAAGGCTCATGTGGATTTGAACAGCCTGAGACTCATCTGCATTTGGTTTCCCAGGTAACATGGCAATCAGTAAATTCAGGACTTCCTCAACCCTTTCCTTGTAGGATACAATAAAAACCGGCACCAAGAGAGACAAAGAGGTTGCTGCACAGGAACGAGCAATAGCACTTGCGGTATTTTCACCAGAGTAGGATTTCTAGGACACAAAAGAAAAGTCCCAAAGATTCTTAGTTTTATCCTTTTGTTTCTGCGGATAAAAGCTTTCAGCACATTGCAGACCTATCTAGGAAAGCGAAAGGAAGATATAATAATGATTTTGACAGTGTGACTCTGCATACCTTTGCCTTTTATTTGGTAATACTGAAATAAGCTTTACTTGAAGAAAACAAAAGCAAATCTGTATTTTCTAAAATATACAAATATAAATTAAAATTATCAATTCATCATATAACTTTATTGGAATTTCCTCAGCAGGCAGGAGATGAGGAGAAGAGAATCAACATCAATAAAAGCACTATGTGAAAATGAAAAGAATACATAATAGTTGCAGAAACATCAAATACCAAATGCAAGGGAACTAAACACTTTAATAATTAATACACATTTCAGTGTATTTCTTAAAGTGTATAAACACACCTAGACTCACCTGTCAGTTTGTAGGTACTAACAAAAGTTTATAACAATTAAATATACAGTCTTGGAGGAAGAAATATCCTGAAATCTTAAAACTCACTAACTATGATTAGTGCCTTACTTTCAATGGGATTTACTTTTCAATACATATCTATAGGACTGATCATCAAAACACACTAAATTATATCTTTCCTTCGAGGCAACATTACCATGGCTAAATTACATAGAGAAGCACACTTTGCATAATGAGAAAAAAGAAAGCAACTGGAACAACAGAACAGTATGAAGTCAAGTGACATTTATTTCAAAGCAGTGAAATCAGTCAAATTTGTAAAAAAAAATGGAACAGTTTATAGGTGGATTTATAGAAATACAAAGGAAGTTAGAGAAAAACAGTCCTACTAAGCGTTAGGGAATTTATGCCTTGGGAATTGTTTTAAGCACAGAATTCAGATAACTACCAAATGAACCTGTTTGGGAACAACCCAAGATTTTTAATTTCATTTAATTAACCATACAAAAAACAAAATAACAAATTAAGTTATAGAAAGATAGTAAGATAAAAGAATCCTTAAAAATTAGAAAGGAAAACATGGTACATAGAGAAGGTCTTCATGGACACATATGCATTCATAAATGTTCTACATAAACATTTCAATGACTGCTGGCCATATTTCATTATAATCACCCATAACTAATTTATGCTGATAAGTGATTCGTTTGTAAACTGTTAACATCAGTTCTGCAGACTATTCAGTGGTTGGAGTTGTATTTTATCTTCCCAGTGCTTAAGAATAAGACTAGCAGCTATAAGCAAGAGAATACACTTTCTTTATTCAGATGTCAATTTCTGTACAATAGAAATATACTTCAAAAGATAATAAATATCTGAGATTATTAAATCTTGTCTCAATGCTGAGTTAATATATATAATAGCTTCCTCTACAAATGAAATTATTTTTTTTTTTATTAAATGTTTTTTAAGTTTTAGTTTAAAGGTGGTACAACTTCTTTCTTAATATATCAATCAATTACAGATAATACAGAAAAAAAACAAAGACAACAATCAGAAAAACAAAACA